CGGTGTCATCGAAGCCACCAACATAACTTTGACCCAATTCTGGGAGGCATTGGAAGACAGGAGGGCCTGGCGTTCTCTGGTCCATGGAGTCACAAAGACTTAACAACATGCTCTCCACTAAGGATGAAGTTCGCAACCTGGGCATACTTCTGGACACAGTGCTACCAACGGAGTCCCAGATAGCATCTGTGATCAGCTCTGCACTTTTCCACCTGAGATGGATTAACCAACTGCGCTCGTACCCCACCTCTGGAATAATCTCTCACCTGAAATTTGCCTTGCCCCTTCACTGGGAATGCTTAACAACATGCTCTCCACTAAGGATGAAGTTCGCAACCTGGGCATACTTCTGGACACAGTGCTACCAACGGAGTCCCAGATAGCATCTGTGATCAGCTCTGCACTTTTCCACCTGAGATGGATTAACCAACTGCGCTCGTACCCCACCTCTGGAATAATCTCTCACCTGAAATTTGCCTTGCCCCTTCACTGGGAATGTTCAAACTTTTGAAAACATGGCTCTTCAGACAAGCCTTCTCAGAGCTTACAACATCATAGCACAGTGGTTGTCTCAGCGTTCATATGATCAGTTTCAGCACCTTGTCTTTTCAATTACTTTTAAGTTATTTGGAGTTAATTTTACATTGCTTTTTGTGCACATGTACTGATGTTTAATTTTGATGTTCATATATCAATTATGTTTAGTGTTTTTAAATTGTTGTCTATTATGTTATTGAGCTGTAAACCACCCAGAGTGGCCTTGGTAGTCAGATGGGTGGTATAAAACTCAAATAAATAAGCTACATTATTTATTATTAATAAACTAAATTATTACCTTCTTATGCACTGCTTGAAGTTGTTCAGCATGTTGCAACTACATTTCTTTCAACTGCTACTGTTTATTTTGGTCTTCTTGCTCATTTCCCTACTTTGTTGCTCTGAAGTCCCTTTCATCCTGACGAATGTAATACATATGTTTCGGAACAAACAAATTAAGTTAATGTCCATTAAGAGGACTGTCACTGTAAGAATGGCAAATTCTAGAGGACAGGATTATTGTTTATATATAGTATCTGGACACTAAAACGGTATTCCAAAGTAGCATTGTCAGAGTATTGTCAAGTTAAGCATTAAATTCTAATATTTGACATTTCTGTGTAAGACACTGACTTCTTCTCCCTGTAGCACAGATTACTGAAGTTATTTTTGGAAAGCTGCCCAAGCAATACTGCAGCAGAATCTGAAATGGTACTCCATCCAGAGTCTTAAAATAGTTGAAACCATCCAACTGTTAAAGCGCAGACGCAGCTATTCCAGGGTTTAATCCTCAAGCAAACTTCTATTGTGCTGAACTGATTTCTTCCAGTTCTGCAGTCCTGAATGCTTCTAAGGACTAATTAACAATATGTGGGTCATCAGAAGCCTCCAATAGGCCCATCCCCCCAACAGGAACTGTCCACATTTTATGCAGTGTACTGTAAGAAACTACAGATTAAAATAATCATAACTGTTATAGGAGACAAAAAGAACAAGATGGCAAAGTGTGTTTTTTAAAAATAATTTAACCTGCAGCAGCAACAGCAGAAAAGAGACCTGTGGTTTGCCAAGTCCAAGGAGCTCCTCCTGCACTGCCTTGTTTAGGGTGAAATTCATGCTTATTGCTGTAAGAACTCTTTGTGTGCAGAAGATATAGGGGACTAATTTTAACCACGTCCGTTCTCATAGCAGACGTTAGGCATTAGGACTTTTTGATTCCTTGGACTGCAAATCTCGTAATTCTCCATTCTGGGAGTTCCACCTAGCAGACTTCTAAATGTGGTTCATCTGGAGAAAAGGCATAGCTGGGAAGGCTTTGTATCTTAGAACAGATCCAGGTCTGCCCAGCTTCCTATTCAAAAGCTACTGATAGCTGGGAGCTTCTTTTCTGAACAGGAACCTCGGGTGAGCTACGCTTCTGCTAAAAGCCACAAAGGCTTCCCAACTAGTTTTTTTTTTCTTCAGGTGAGCCACATTGAGATGTCTGTAGGTGTGGACCTGTCAGGTGAAACTCCCAGAATGGAGAATTATGGCATATTTAGTCCAAAACTTCCGAAGATTTCCATGCCTAGCAGATGTAACATATCTGGTCTCTCTCCTGATGTGTTAATTGAGAAAGGGTTTTAGAAGATAGCCAGGACTTCTCTGCAGCTGCACATTGCAAGAGGAAGTCCGATAAAGACAGGAAAGATTCTGTATGATGCGTGTCACTGAAGTTTCCAAAGAACTGCGGAGTTCTCTGGAAGACAGTTTGAGGAGACCAGTGGTAAACAAAGTTTGCTATTCCAAAATTGGACCAGTAAGAGTGCAACAAGATCTGGATTTACAGAAGTGGCAAAGGGAGTCACAGAAGAGGAAATTTAATTTTATCATATCACCCCGTATGAGCCTTCTCAGCTTAAAAGATCTTCTGGGGAGGCCCTTCTCCCGGTTCCACCACCTTCCTATGCTCGTTTGGTGAGAAGACGAGAGACAGCATTCTGAGCGGTTGCTCCCAGGCTTTGAAATACACTGCTCTGAGAAACCAGATTGGCTCCCTACCTCTTTTCCTGCTGTAATCAGCCAAAGACCTTCCATTTCGGGCAGACTTGTAAGTAATAAACGTCTCAGGAATGCTCTATTTTTAAAAACAGACATTTTAAAATGTTTTTAATCCAGACCAATGTTTAATTGTTTTTTAATGTATAGTTTCAATAGGGTATTTTTAACTTCTTATTATTGTATGATTTTAATTGTTGTGAGCTGCCTTGGGTCCCCTATGGGGAGAAAGATAACACATTCATAAAATAAATAAGCAATATATAAATAATAAAGGTGCTACTCTGGTAGAATCTTGAGACTAGATTCCAAACTGAGATGTAGATTCTGAACAAAAACAAACCCAGCCTAAAACAAAATGTTTTAGGACCATAACACCCGGCATTCAAGAAGATGAAAACTGTACTGCAAGCAAAATGGCAAAAATGCGCACAGCGCGATCTTTTTATTTGCTTGGCAATGGAAACTTCCTTCCCCGAATGCCGCCCCAGTCCTTTCAGGACGACCGTGCTGCAAATACCGCTGAAAAACAATTCTCTTTGGGATTGTGAAGCAGGAGCTGAACGACCTAAGACACAATATCAAACAGTACATTCACTCTGCTGGGAACAGTTCCAACCACATAAGTCTCTGCATGGCTCCCAAATAACATCTTGCAGAGAAAATTATATCGACGCATGATACAGAAATGCCAAGTAGCCCCAGGCAGGTAGACGGATGCGTCTTCTTTCAACTTTAGACACTGTAAGTGACCGTCCGTTAAGAAACAGCACTCTCTTGAGAACAACTTGTTCAACTGAAGATTTTTCATGTTTTGGACAACTCAATAAAAAGAACAAGTATATCAGAGCCATGTATTTTAATAATGCTCCGATTATTCCAAGCTTATTTTATCTCCATTCACCTTCTCAGGATGTTACCGGCACAATGAAGCCTGACAATGCTGAAATGATGCTTGACAATGTAAAAAGATAGGAAAGGGAAGGTAGAGTAACAGTTGCTTACAAATTCACTTTCTCCTACCACCAACTATGAGTGATAGACTCCTGAGGTTAGATTTGAAAACAAGATGTAGATCCTGAATGGAAACAAATCCAGCCTGTCAAAATGTTAGTACAAAATGTTAAGCTATTAGTATCACTTCCAATAGCTGCTGAGCCCCACACTTCTAAAATACTTATCTACATATTCTATAGATGTGTAACTTTGGTGGTTCTGGTGACCACTTTTCCACCTCAAGACCATTCTATATCCTTAACCTTAGAACTGCAGAGCTGAAACGGACCCTAGGGATCATCAAGTCCAGCCCCTGTCAAGGAGGCACCATGGGGGAATTGAACTCTCAAACTCTGGCTCCGCAGCCAGACACCTAAACCACTGGCTCCATCTCCAATCTTGAAATATGTGCATTCTGGAATGTGGAAGAGGAGGGCCGAGGCTGTGACTCACTAAAATGGGATGTCGTCACTCTTGGAGGTTCCAATCCACGTATTTGTTTTCTAGAAAAGAACCCTAAAAATGAATAAATAAAAGCAACTTTGGAGAGGGGCCACACATGGCACTCAAGTGCACTTTGCGCAACCCTGGCTTATCTTAGCAGTCTTGGCACCTTAAGTTCTAGCTTTATTTGGTGTAAGCTTTTGTGAACAGCAGGCCGCTCTACCAGACACATGTTTAAGGACCACTGGTTAGTCTTGAAGGTTCTGCTAAAAAAGACTATACACCAAAACCACACACCCAGTAAAAACCAGGAGGAATGCGAGGCCCTACTGTGGCTTAAACTGGAGCCCAATTTGCACTCTTTTCAACAGCAGGATGACTTCCTCTGCAGTTGTTTGGGGCAAAAGTGCCTTTCCTCTGCCACGGCGCTTACTTATCCACAGTGGGTGGGTGGGCAGTTCCAGCCAAGGGAAATACAGCAGCAATGACATCTTGATGGCCAGATAAACACCACCACTGCCGATGCTGCCAATGTGTTCTTAGCCCCCACCATCCAGCGCCTGTCAGACAAGCAAGCCCAGCAAAGGAGGAAAAGCTCTCTCACCACAGCTGACTACAGAGGAAGCCCTAATGTTGCCACTCAAAGTTAGAAGGACGACACCCCCTCGCCCCTAGCCTTCTACCTGGGTGGACACTACACTTATACTCCTCTGTCTATGTCAGGAATCTCATCAAAACAGAGGATGTGTGTTTTAAGCAGTGTTGCCCTTGTTGCCTCATTATCTGCAGTAAACACTCTTGCTAACGATTACAGCAAACATGTAATTTTGGCTAGAGGTATCAAGGTGGTGTTTCTGGCATCTTTTTTAAGACAGCTTTTGCAAAGGGATGAAAAGATGACTACTGCAGTAGTAAAACCAAGGGCAAAACCATCAGTACTTTTCTGTAATTTGAGCACTGTACTGCAAGCTTAATAGTATTGATCGAAAATAACACAGTAAAAGATGCAAAAAAACAACCCACCCTCATATGCTCAGACCAACATCTCTGTCAAGGAGCAGAAAAATAAGAATGATAATGAAGAATCACTGGACTATCATCTTTCTTACTCAGGTTTTGCTTAAAAGAGTTTTGAGGGGGAGAAGTCTCCTGTTAAGTCTTAGAAACCAAGTTTTAAGATCAACTATATAAATATAGTCATGTTAAACTAACAAGCTGAATACTTGAAACCTAATAGCAAATTTGAAAAACAACCCCTAGTATAATCCCAAACTGTCTGAAGAAATAATATAAAGTCAAATGGAAAAATATTTGAGCAAATCTGGTGCACATGTGTGTACATGCACACAGAGCACTTTAGCTACGTCCCTTGATTATTGATCAATTTTTGCAACGTGCCCTATGCTGTTAAAATGCTACTACATTTTCCTCCTGCCAAAACATTTTAGAATATCAAATTACATTCACTAAGAACTTCAAAGACCTAAAAATAGCCTGAAGGGAGCTGAGGCTAAAACCTAACTCCTACAATAATGGATTAATAAACCTTTTCAGGCCAAAAGGAAAAGGGAAAAAGCTGTAGGGCCCTTATGCACAATCCAGGAAGAAGGCAAGGTAACTTGCTAAAATACTCTTCTTGGGGTTGGGCATTACAGAGAGTTTGAGCCATGGTGGAAGAAACAGATTAAAAACTGAATGATAGTTGTCAAGCTCTCACTTTTTCTCAGCCCAGAGATTAAAAAGGCATTTAAAAAGATGCAAAGTTTTCTGTCCAGCTGAAACCCAGACACCTCTGGCTCTCAGAGAGACCTGGAGCATCAACACTCTGGCTTTCAAGCGGCAATTTATACTGGTCCAGCAGTATTTGTTCTCCATAAGGGCACCTGCATGCTTATATGTCC